CAGGGTTGCACAGAAGAAAAAAAGAACTCTAACAACTACACTATTTCACCCTTTGATAAGTGTAAATAAATACTTCAAGAGGCATAACCACTAAAAGAATCGGTGAAAGAAGTATATCCCAACATGAACTTCTCACCACCATAGAGTGTCAGAATAAATTGTATACCTGCGACACTACACATAGGGAAACCAAAGCCCAGATGGCAAGTGTGGAGTGACCTGCTTTATAAAATTGGGATACTGGTCCCAGAGGTTGCAAATCATTTTGTCCCAGAAAATCCCAACTTGAGCGTTTTAGATTTAAGAAATCTAAATTAAGAAAGTAAAGAACATTCACAATTAAAAGATCTCTTTTAAGAAAAAAATACAGGGCCAGGTGTGGTGGCTCACACCTGTAATCCCAGCACTTTGGGAGGCCTAGGTGGGAGGATCATTTGAGCCCAGGAGTTTGAGGTTACAGTGAGCTGTGATCGTGCCACCTGTGCTCCAGCCTGGGTGACAGAACAACACTCTGACTCTAAATAAAACAAAAAGAAAAAAGAAACAGACACAATTATTTTCCTGAAACCTCCCACATGTTAAGAAATAATTTATGGAGAGGCAGCGCAGTGTAGTGTGAACTCTTGAATAGCTGGCTTTATGTGGGTTGGGGCGATCACCATGGCAACAAGCTTATCCTAAAACATTCATTTAGACTCATCATTGGAACAGTGAGCAGTAAGAAAGGAATGGTCTCTCAGGACCTCAAGGGATTTTCTTACAGCTCTGTCCTCCTTAGTTGCTCTAGCCTGGCTCTGTTTGTAACTCTAGTTGCTAAGGTACATGCCACAATTTTTTAAAAAGGGTAACTTGCCAAGAGAGATGTGCTTAAAATCTTACAAAGGGAATAACAAAAACAGTGATAAATCTGGAAAAGTATAAGAAGTAAACAGAATTGGTTTTCTGGAGCTTAATCACTAAACAAAGTACTATGAATAGACCCTCGAAGTCTACTTGTAAAGTTTGAAAATTGAAGGAAGAAAATCTTAAAAAGGCTAAATATCAAGTGAACATTGGAAGTCTGGTCCTCTTTCTAAACCATAAGATCCTTTTGTTGTCTCTCAGTTTGCCCAACACTAAATGTACGTCCAGTGTACTCCTTGGTAGAAGTTTACACGCCAGTTTTTAGAAATATATAGAGACATTTGTAGATTCCTAGTAACTCTGAATAGCTGGTGAGTATTTCAGACAAGGTTGAGATTGTTTGAAGTACTTTTTCATTTCTAGGGGATTTGCATTAATGGACAAAATTATTTGGATTAAATTCTCCGATAAAAAGACATAGAGTGACTGAATGGATACAATAAACAAGACCCACCTATAAGCTACTACAGGAGAGTCACATCACTTTTAAGGATACCCATAGGACTGAAAGTAAAGGGATGGAAAAAGATATTCACACAAATAGAAACCAAAAGAGAACAAGGATAGCTTTACAGCTTCAGACAAAACAGACTTTAAGTAAAAAAACTATAAAAAGAGACAAAGAATGACATTGTATAATAATAGGGGAATAATTCATCAAGAGGATATAACAATTGTAAATACATATGCACCCAACATCGGAGCACCTAAATATGTAAAACAAATATCAAAGGATCTGAAGGGAGAGATAGATTGCAGTACAATGATAGTAGACTTTAATACCCCACTTTCAATAATGGACAAATCATCCAAACAGAAAATTAGTAAGGAGGAAACATTGGACTTTACCAACACTTTAGACCAAATGAACCCAATAGAGTTTCCATCCAACAACAATAGAAAACACATTCTTCTCAAGTGCATAGGGAACATTCTGTAGGAGAGGTCACATGTTAGAGCACAAAACAAGCCTCAGCAAATTTAAGAAGATTGAAATTATATCAAACACCTTTTCTGGCCACAATGTTATAAAACTAGAAATCCGTACCAGGAGAAATTTTGGAAAAGTCAAAAATACATGGAAATTAAACAGTATGCTCCTGAACAACCAATGGATCAATGAAGAAATTAAAATGGAAATTAAATATTTTGAGACAAATGAAAATGGAATCACAACATACTAAAATGTATGGGATACAGCAAAAAGCAGTTCTAAAACTAAGAGCAAAGTTTACTGTCATACACACCTACATGGAAAAAGAAGAAAGATCTCAACCTAAAGTTATACCGTGAGAAACTAGAAAAAGTACAAACTAAGCCCAAAGGTAGCAGAAGGAAGGAAATAATAAAGATGAGAGCAGAAATAAATAAAATAGGGACTAGAAAAACAATATAAAATGTCAATGTCAAAACTAAGTTGTTTAAAAAAAAAAAACCCTTAGCTAGACTAAAAAGAGAGAGAAGACTCAATGTCAGAAATGAAAGATTACAGCTGATGCTACAGTAATAGAAAGGATCATTAGAGACTATTATGAATGATTAAATATCAACAAATTGGATAACCTAGAAGAAATGGATAAATTCCTGGACACAGCCTACCAAGTCTGAAATAGAAAATCTGAACAGACCAATGAGTAAGGAGATTGAATCAGTAATAAAAACTCTTCTGTCAAAGAAAAGCATAAGACCTGATGGCTTTGTGGCTGAATTCTACCAAACATTTAAAGAACTAATACCAGTCCTTCTCAAACTCTTCTGAAAAATCAAAGAGGAGGGAATACTTCCAAACTCTTTTTTTCAAGTCCAGCATTACCTTGATACCAGAGGCAAGCAAGAACATTATAAGAAGAGAAAATTACAGGCCAATATCCTTGATACGAACATAGATACAAAAATCCTTACCAAAATACTAGCAAACCCAATTCAACAACACATTAAAAGGATCATCCAGGGTGATCAAGTGGGATTTCTCCCTGGGTTGTGAGGATGATTCAGCGTACGCAAATCAACAATTGTAATATGTCATATTAACAGGATGAAGGACAAAAACCATGTGATTATCTAATTAGGTGCAGAGAAAGTATTTCACAAAATTGACTGCTTTATTAAGGCAGCCTGTTGCGAGGTCATTTTTAAGTTCTAAATAGCAATAACAGCAGCCGACTCTTACTGTGCAATTCCTACACACCAGGCGTGTTTTATGTACTTTACAGGTACTAACTCAGTGCTGCTCAGCTCGAAAGGATTCAGTTAATTTTATTTTCTTTTCAATTACTTATTAGTCAAATCTCTTATTGATTGGTTTAGTTTCAGCTATATTTTTCCTACCTATATTCATTGACTCTAATATAAGCCATAAAATTTTATGTAATTTTAATCTGATTATCATTTCCTCTAAGTTTTTGAGGATCAGTATCACTTTGTTAGAACAATCTTTGGAGACCGCCTTCTTCCATCTCCCTTCAAAGACTCCTGTTAGCTTCAGTCAACTCAAAGTGTGATGATGTCAAAGTAAACTGATAGTTTTCAAGCTCGTGTAATAGTAAGCATCTTGATGATTATATTAGGGCTAACAAAGGGGAAAAAACATCCCAGATCCTTAATGGAAGAAAGCAGATGTAGAGATGAAACACTCAAAACAGACCACTAAATTATTTAAATGTTAATTTGTGATAAATTGGACTACATCAAAAAAAAAAAATTCCTCAAGAAAACAATTAGGCAAGCCACAAAACTGGTAGAAAATATTTGCAACACATACATCTGTCAAGGGACTTATATCCAGATTATATAAAGAACCCCTACAAATTAATAAGTCAAATTATAAATAAGCAAAAAGTTATATGTACTCTTCACAGAAGAAGGTCTGTAAATGACCAATAAGCCCATGAAAAGATGTGCAACATCATTAAGCATCAGGGAAATGCAATTGAGATACTGCTCACACCCTCTCAAATAGCTAAAATATACAAGACTGATAATAACAAATGTCAGTGAGGATTGGAGCAACTTAGACTCTCATACTTTGCTAGTAGAAGTGCAAGGTGATATAATCTCTTTGTTTCTCATGAAGTTAAATATATACTGACCCTGTGACCCAGCACTTATACTCCTAGGTATTTGCCCAAGAAAAATAAAAACTTAAATCCTCAAATATTTGAATAAAAATGCTCATAGCATTCTTATTATACAAAACCTCCAAACTGCAAATAATCCACATGTTTGGCAAAAAGAAAATGGATAAATTGAGATATAGTCATATAGTGGAATAATAACAATAAAAGTCACAACTACTGAATCGCTCAGTAACATGGATGAATCTCATAGGCACAAGGAAATGGAGTGTGTGCAGTAAGATTCCATTTATATGAACTTACAGAACAGGCAAAACTAATTACAGAATTAGAAGTCAGACTAGTGTTTACCTCTTGGATGGGGATGAGGTGTCTTGAGGGGGCCATGCTATATTGTATGCACAAATATCAAAAAATCATCCTGTTGAAAACTTTGCTTTTTTAAAAAAAAAATTTATTTTTAATTATTATGGGTATATAATGTATGTATTTATAGAGTACATGTGATGTTTTGATACTGGCATACAATGCAAATTAATCAAATCAAGGTAATTGGGATATCCATCACCTTCAGCATTTATCGTTTCTTTGTGTTAGGAACATTCCAATTCCACTGTTTTATAAAACCTTTGCATTTTATTGTTTACTAAATTATTTTAATAGTTTCCATTTTAAAATGTTAATTTGTTTTGGGGACCAAAAACATAGCTCTGATTTATAGCCTAAATTATTAAAATTTAGCTAGATGTATCTTTATTACCTAAAATGTCATCTGCATTTTTAGTCAGTGCCTTATCTCCTTCTGTCAAAGTCAGAGTCACTGGATTTTATATTATATTTTATTCAAAGGTGTTGGAATACCTTTTTTCACGGATGAAATACAGAATGGGAGAAACACTTTTTATGTAATTTTTGTGTTACGAAGTGAATTTAAAACAAGTCAATGTTCTCGACGTCCCCGATACTATAGGAGACCACAATGTTGTTATAATTTAATTAACTAGGACTTTCCTTTTCTTGAAGGTATACAAGGGAGAAGAAGCCACATTCCAAATCTCAGGCCTCCAGACCAACACAGACTACAGGTTCCGCGTGTGTGCGTGTCGTCGCTGTTTAGACACCTCTCAGGAGCTAAGCGGAGCTTTCAGCCCCTCTGCGGCTTTTGTATTACAACGAAGTGAGGTCATGCTTACAGGGGACATGGGGAGCTTAGATGATCCCAAAATGAAGAGCATGATGCCTACTGATGAACAGTTCGCAGCCCTCATTGTGCTCGGCTTTGCAACTTTGTCCATTTTATTTGCCTTTATATTACAGTACTTCTTAATGAAGTAAACAAACCCAACAAAACTAGAGGTATGAATTTAATTAATGCTACACATTTTAATACACACATTTATTCAGATACTCCCCTTTTTAAGCCCTTTTGTTCTTTGATTTATATACTCTTGTTTTACAGATTTAGCTAGAAAAATAAATGTCAGTGTTTTGGTGCACCTTTTTGAAATGCAAAACTGGGAAGAGGTTAAACTGGATTTAAAAAAAGAAGAAGAAAAGCAAACCGGATACCAAAAGCTAGCTTTCTTATGTTTTCTTTTAAATTTTCAGATTTGACTTTATTCTGATTTCACAGATGTCTTTCGCAAGCCTTTGATATTTTTTTTTTTTTATGTTACAGTTTAGTAATTTATATTCACCAGTCACTTGTTATGTCTTTTTCATCTATATCTGTAAACATGAATCACAGTGTATGTAGTTACAGGGCCAGGATTTCACTGTTGTCAGAGTATTACCACACAACAACAGCATACAGAAGATGTGTTAACTCAGATAAGACTGCCCTAAACAACCATTTTGTCACTCAGTTATTTAACTGTGTTTAGGTCATTTAAATCAAAATGTGTACTTTAATCTAAAATGTTTTAATACTCTGTATCTCTTATGATTTTAACACTATGAGCTGCCTGTATAAGAAATCAAGTAACCAAAATGCACCTATAAATTATGGAGCATTGTAGATTTTACCACGTCAATTCATAGCAGTAACTTTAAGAGGGCATTGTGCAATAGTTAGTTGTTTCCTTGTTCAGCTATTTTAAAAGCTGCTTTAACTTGTTTGTTTGTCTTTGTATATAACTACTTCTGATCTAATCACTAGAGTTATTATATTCTGTTATGTTTGACCAGAATTATATGACAAGAACTGGTGACAGTTTAGTGCCTCTGCCCATTGTCCATGATTTACGCTAATTGTGAGCAATCTTCTTGGGTGTCAGCTCATTATTTTTGAAAGATTTGCCTTTAGGCTGTTCTTCGAGGTATCAGTGAAGTGATTGAATTTCAACACCTTAATTCAGTGCGCATAATACTAATGTAACAGCAGATGAAAATTGATAAAACCCAAAAGAGAGTCATCTAAATTTGTAGTTCCTATTTCTGTGGGTTTGCCTGGCCGTGGTTGGAGAGGGGATGGTGTTTGGCGGTCAGCACAGGGTGTTTGGGGGTCAAGGAGCCTAGATTCTCTCCCTGGATCTGTCACTAACTTGCTGCGTGACCTGAACATGTCACTTTACCTCTCTGTGCCTCAGTTTTCCCATGCATGAAAAATAAAATAAAAATAAAAGGGGATTCTAATGTTTGTAAGTGCTTTGAGATCTTTGATCAACAGGTGCTATTGGAGTGCAAAGTGTTACTCTTGCATGTTTGAGTCATGAGATAATCAATTTGAACCCAAAGTCATTGGATTATTTATATGAAGTCCATAATGCTCGAGTACCTCAGGGACATATAAGAGTTGGAGGTGCAAATATATTCCAAAAGGGTGCAACAGACACAGTGTATCCCCCTGCTTCTGTTTTTGTATATTTTTGCTACTTGGTTTTTCTTGATCATAGCTATTTTGTGCTTGGTCTATGTTGTCTAAGATGCAGTATCCTGTACTAGCTTATAATATTCCCATACCAAAGTCATGGGGAAACCAACATTATTTTGTTTTTGGTTTATTTATACTATATTCTGCATACAGTACTTTAAATGCCAATTACAGTGCAATCTTTATTTATTGTAAAATTTTTAAAATGTACTTATGTACTAATTTTCCCTTGTAGCATGTTATTTTTTTGTGTTTTATACTTTTGTAATTTTAGGTCAGTTTTGTTCCTTGACAACATCTGTAGTATTATTAATCTTCTGACATTTTCTTGTGTTTTTAAAAGATAAGAGCATCTAGTGCATTAAATGCCAAAAAAAGAATTCATTATCAGTGATTGAAACGTTTACATGTACCCAAAAACCATAATCATCTCTTGAAAGAAAGTGCTAAGATCAATGAATTATTCTGTGTGCCTCTATTGATGTAGTAAGTACTAGAGAGTTTTGTATTTTATTATTAA